TTTTTTTTTTTTTTTTTTTTGGAGACGGAGTTTCGCTCTTGTTACCCAGGCTGGAGTGCAATGGCGCGATCTCGGCTCACCGCAACCTCCGCCTCCTGGGTTCAGGCAATTCTCCTGCCTCAGCCTCTTGAGTAGCTGGGATTACAGGCACGCACCACCATGCCCAGCTAATTTTTTGTAGTTTTAGTAGAGACGGGGTTTCACCATGTTGACCAGGATGGTCTCGATCTCTTGACCTCGTGATCCACCCGCCTCGGCCTCCCACAGTGCTGGGATTACAGGCGTGAGCCACCGCGCCCGGCCAGAGAATTTCAAATAATACATGTAGATGCTACTCTCTTCTAGAAGGTAGACCTTACCCCCACCCCCTCATCATGAAAAGCTGGGGGAGACTTAGCGACTCTCTTCTCAAGAACAGCGTAGGGAAAGGAGAAAAGAACAGCTTTACAGTACAGAAACCTGGCAGACAGCACCTTAACCAGGTGATAAAGGTAACGTCACCAGGACGTCATGAGGCTGTCACGAGTGCCCTGCTATGATGCCACTAGGGGGCGCTTCACCCCTACAGCATTCTTCCCCTTCACTGCCAGTTTAATCACGAGAAAAACATGAGACAAACCCAGACTGGGGGACGGACGTTCCACAGGAGACCTGGCCAGCATTTCTCAAAACTTTCAAGGTTGTAAAAACAAGGGAAGACTAAAAAAAAGTCACAGAGGAGAGGAGGCTGGGGAGAAACACCAACCAAGTGCACCGTGGGAAGATGGATGGGATCCTAGGACGGAAAGGGGATACGAATGAAAAACGGGCCAAATCTATAGGGGGGCTGAAGTTGACTGAATAATGCTGTACCAATGTCAGTTTCTTAGTTTCGTCCAGTGTACCCTGGTAATATAAAACACTTACAATGGGAACTTTCTGTACTAGCTTTGCAACTTTTCTATAAATCTAAAATTATTCCAAAATTTTAAAATGTGGTAAAACCAAAATTTTCTTGGGGACCTTGCGGAGCAGCTGTTTAAGAAACACAGGGACTCCAGGAGCTCGGCAGGTTTTCTAAGATGACAGACGGACGAAGAAAGTCCATTCTAGGCAGGGTGCAGCAGCTCATGCCTGTAATCCCAGCATGTTGGGAGGCTGAGGAGGGAGAATTGCTTCAGCCCAGGAGTTTGGTGAGACCAGCCTGGGCAACATAGCAAGACCCTGTCTCAAAAAAAAAAAAAAAAAAAAAAAAAAAAGTCCTTTCTAGTCAAGGGGACACAGTTTCTAATCTTTAACCCAAGGGTGTTTCTCATTTCCAAAAAGATGTTTAAAAAAACAAATAAACAAATGCCCAGTACTTTGAGAGGCTGAGGTGGGCACATCACCTGAGGTCAGGAGTTTGAGACCAGCGTGGCCAACATGGCAAAACGCTGTCTCTACTAAAAATATAAAAATTAGCCCACTGTGGTGGTGCATGCCTGTAATCCCAACTACTTGGGAGGCTGAGGCAGGTAAATCACTTGAACCCGGGAGGCAGAGGTTGCAGTGAGCCAAGATCGTGCCATTGCACTCCAGCCTGGGCAACAGAGCAAGACTCCATCTAATAAAACCAAGCCAAACCAAGCCACATTCCCCATGGATCCTTAAACGAAGCTAGTTCCATGTATAAACGCAATTTCATTACTCATGTTTGCTTTGGAGATCATAGCTAGTGTTTACAGGTTTGCATTTTGAGGAGTTTGCATCTCCACAAGTAGCCTTATTAGACAACCTTACTGATGAAAATAGAAAACGATCCTGAACATATATTCAGGAACTTGCTCAGTGCTGTCAAATTCTGTCTGAAAACAGAAAGGGTAATATCTTTCTTATTAAGATACCTAAGAAGCCAGGTTAAACAGAAAGGGTAATATCCTTCTTATTAAGATATCTAACAAGAAGCCAGGTTAAAAATAGAACACGTTTACTTTTCAAAAATGAATTTTAAAAGTGGCCTCAATATTTATAATTGAGAATACACTTTTTTACACACACACACACACACACACACTCTTGTTTGCTGGGTGTCATAATCCAGACCCAAATTCTTTTGCACTAAGAGATCAAGGCAGGTCTATCAGGGGGGTAGTTCACAGTTTACAGCCCTAGTTTTTTTCTTTGAGACATGGTCTCACTCTGTCACCCAGGCTGGAGTGCAGTGGCACAATCACGGTTCATTGCAGCCTGGACCTCCTGGGCTCAGGCAATCCTCCTATCTCAACCTTTTGAGTAGCTGGGGCCACAGGTGCCCACCACCATGCATAACTAATGTTTTAATTATATGTAGAGACAGGGTCTCCCTATGTTGCCCAGGCTGGTCTCGAACTCCTGGGCTCAAGCGACCCTCCTGCCTCAGTCTCCCAAAGCTCTGAGATTATAGGTGTGAACCACGGCATGCAGCGGTCCTTGCTTTTCAACTGTCCAGTGAGGCACACCTGTCTCTATCATTTGCTATCATTTATTTCTGTGCCAGGCACTAGACAAAGAGAACTTTTTCTCTCTCCTTTAAAGGTAAAGAAACTGAAGCTTTGGGAGATAAAGAGCCTGGCTGAGGACTGCTTACCTAGGAAGTACGAGAGTCGAGGAAAACCCTCACAGATTCTGGGAGTGTGTCACCTTTCCACCGCTTACCACCTATGTGACCTTGAGCCAAAAGGGGGACACCAACAGGACCTCCACGATGGGGTGGGCGGGAAACTTAGCTGGATTGTCGCATTGGGAGCTCAGCCCTGTGCCTGGTCATCAGTAAACATGGCAACCGGGAGCCCTCGGTGACTCCCCAGGGCACAGACCTTCTGTTCACGTACAATCTAACCACCCAGACAAGTTATCCTTCCTTTGGGAAAAGAATCAGACACAACCTGGAGGAAAATTACCCATGACATTTTCAGGTTTTCTAGAGACACTCATTTCCATAACTTCCCCATTTTTGGCTTGCATTTCTATAGTGTTTCAAGGGCATTTTTTTTTTATAGCTAGATAGAGATAGATATCTGGGCAAGATCAAATTCTCGTCAAATCCTGACATCATCAGGAATGACTCATGGTATACATTTAGAAAAACATTCAAAGACGAATGATCAAAAAACAGTAATCACGAGAAACCCTCACTCAAATACAGAGCTGTCATTCTGATCTCCCCAGATGAGGATCTCGGTGATGGAGCGGATGGTCTCCACTAGCAGGTTCCGGTTCTGTTCTGTGACTGTGGTGTTTTTGGTCAAAACGTGGTACAGATATCTGAGAGAAAACAGAGAAAAGGAAATTAAAGGTGACCAACTGAAATGCAAGCCAAGTTCAATGACCATTAGCAATATTTTGGAGATAATACAGCAGTGCTTTTTCAGGTTTGGGTAGTGCAATTTCCCATTCAGATTAGACGTAACTCACAACCCAAGAAAAATAGCAGATGATACTTTAAGGGTTAAGCCAAGGACACAGCAATGCAGAGACAAAAAAAACCCATCAAACCCTTGAAGTCAGCTACTCTCAAACCACAGTGTGCAAGAGAATCACCCAGAGAAATGGATTGAGTGGGGGCTCCCGGAGCCCCCTCAGAGATTCATATCCAGCAGGACTGAGGGAAAAGCAGGCACAGCCTGTTTCACATGCTCCCCGTGGTGCTGATGCCATCAGAAGAAGTGGGGATATACGGCTCAGGCTGGAGGCCTAACACAAGACCTGCAGCCAGGCTAATGTTGAGATTCAGAGCAACAGAGTCACAGCTCAGGAAGGCTGGGTCCCAGGGCAGATGCTGGGGCAAAAATCACATGCAATTCTCCCTGGAATGCTCACTATCCCTCCTCAAGTGCAGTATGCCCGTCAGACCTTATGGCTCAAATGATATGGGTGGTCTGTAGTCCAAGGGCAAAGGTCTTATTTGCTAACAGACTGTTAAATTCACAGAATTAAATGGGCTGGCTGGGCACGGTGGCTCATGCCTGTAATCCCAGCACTTTGGGAGGCTGAGGCGGGTGGATCACCTGAGGTCAGGAGTTCAAGATCAGCCTGGTCAACATGGCGAAATCCCATCTCTACTAAAAATACAAAAATTAGCCAGGCATGGTGGTGGGTACCTATAATTAGAGGTACTAGGGAGGCTGAGGCAAGTAGCACTGCTTGAAGGAGGCAGAGGTTGCAGTGAGCCGAGATTGTGCCACTGCACTCCAGGCTGGGTGACAGAGCAAGACTCTGTCTCAATCAATCAATCAATGGCTGGAGAGGCTAAGGAGCTATATTTCATCTACCCAAACAGACTTAGGTGCCAGGTGCTAGAGCAGAGACAGGTAGACATTGTCCAGTCCTCAAGGCCTCTTTGCTAGTAGCGGGGACCAAAAGAATCCCTGAGGCCAGTCCTGAGCAGGGCAGGTACCAGAAGCCTGGCTGGATGCCCTGGGAGTGCTGTCAGGCCCAGCTTCTAAGACGGCTTCTCCAGGGCCCACAGAACCAGGTAACTTCACCTGTCAAGGGAGCTTCAGGCTTGAGAAAGAAAAGCAGAAGCCAAGAGAAAGTGACTCAGGAAAAGTCCCCTCCCCTCCTAATTTCTTTATGGTCATCTTCAGTTTAAAGAGCTGGGGGTCTGGTGAGAGCAAGGAAGGAAAGGGCTAGATAGGATTGTCCCACCTATAACTTCTAAAAATGAGTAAGAGATAAAGAGGAAGAACCTTGAAGATGTAACAATAAAGAACAATCTGCTATTTAGAGGAGCTGGGGTTTACATATTAATACCATTACTGTCTGCTATGCTTTAAAGACATAGTATAAAATTAAGCATTTAATTAATTAGAAATGACATGTGATTTTTAATATGCAGTAATGAGAAGAGCCCCCCCAAAAAAACACAAATCCTCAACCATTTGTATCCAAGTCTACCCATGGGGCTTCAGGTGGGGGTATGGGGCCGGTTCCCCTGTGTGATTAGGGAACTCAAACAGCACTTGGACTACCCCGGGATGAATCGTTGGAGGACCTTCTCCGAAATCTGCATCTTCATCTTGCCTCAAGTGCGTCTTTCCCAAGAGTTTGGAAGGGTAGTTTTCCAAACTGCAGTTCCCAGGCATCCCGCATCAGAATCACCCTTGTAAGCTGTCCCAGACCCAGTGAATTGGACTTCTGGTGCAGGGCCCCAGTCCCACTGAAGTTTTACAGCCACTGCGCCACTCCAGCTGTAGCCATCAGTGACACTCTCCACGTAGGCCACCATATGCTGGACACCCCGCAGCCTTATCATTGGCAATGTGGGGGAAGGGCGGACTCTCCTTCACTCTGGAATTTTCTTCTGTGTACATCTATTACCATCAAACATTATACTCCTAGCCAGTGGGAGGCAGCGGCTTAGGTGAGTGGGTCTGCCCTGAAGATCCCCAATAAGGAGAGGAAATTTTAAATTCTTTACAACCATGTCTGACTTCAATTGATGGGGCTTTCTGCTTAGAACGTCCTTGCTGTCCTTGTCAAAAAGGAAACTCTGACTTATATTTCAAAGCCTAGCTTGGGCATCTCTTGGTAAAGCCTTCCCCATCACCCCGTCAGGTGGACTTAATTGTTCCCTCCTCACTGGCACCTCTGTACCCATATGCATTTACCACTGCACAGCCCACCCTCCTTTGCAAAGATCTGCCTCCCTTACTAGACCTCAGTTCCTCAAGGTCAGCAGCATCATCTTATTGATCTTGGTGACCCCGAACATCTGATACATAGCAGGTGTTCAATAAATGCTGAAGAGGGCAGGGATGGTCTTTGTGAACATAACTTAGATCAAAGCATGTTTATAGCCAGGGATCCAAATGCCAGACACGAAAGTGACAGCGCAGAGCTACTGTGAAGAGGTCAGGCTTTGGAGTCTGCAGACAGACTTGGGCTTGACCTCTGGCCCTGCCACTTCCTGTGGCTTGGACAAGGTGCTTCACTGCTCTGCAGCTTAGATTCTACACAGTGGTAGGAACAGACAAGGCTTTCTCACTGGGTTGTTCCAGAAAGGCAACGTGATCATGCACAGAAAGAGCCGAGCACAGCACCTGCCACACAGCGAGGACTCAACAGAAGCAAGCTCGGCTGCCGCTGTGATTAGATTACGGTCATTGTGATGGGGGCCATTATTCACCTTATTACTCCATTATCCAAAGAATATTCCAGGAACATGGAAAAAGAGATCAGGCTAGATTCAAAGAGTCAGGGAAAGAGGACTTCAGGGGAGGAGCTGTGATCGGATGGTTCAGCGAAACCAGAGCAGGAAGTAGACAAAGTCTGGTATTTCCTGAGAGGCACTAGAGTATGTGGTTAATTACAAACACTGGTATAATGAGAGCATATGGCTATCACAGACACTGGAATGCCTGGGTCTGAGCACATCTCCATCACTTATTAGCTGGGTGATCTTGAGCAAGTTACTTTCTCTCTGTGCACCTCAGTTATCTCACCTGTAAAATGGGAACAGCAATGGTGCCTAAATACTTTAGTATCTACCTATTTTGGTGGTGTTGACAGATAATGGATAACTAACCTGGCAGTTACTATGTATGATACAAGTGCTAGCTATTGTTATTGTTGCTCTCATTAAATAATCTCAGAGGGGAAAAATCCTAGTAACCACCAGAAGTCCCTTATAGGCAGAGAGGGCAGGGCAGTAAGTCCTGAAAAGAAGATTCAAGGAGCCCCCATGTGCCTGGTTCTCGGCAAGGGCTTCATGTGACCTGCAGACTCTCAGTAACCTGAAGATGTGCACACTATTGCCACTGCACAGGCCAAGACAGCAAGTGAGGTTTGGGGATGTTCAGAAGCTCGCCAACAGCCCTGGGCCAGGAAGCAGCATCTGAGGGTTTCATTTGTTTCTCAGCCGCTCAGTACCTGGTGTTCTTTGCCCTGGTCGGTGGCGCCATCTGCTGGGTATGTGGTGATACTGCATGGGGGCTTTCCTGCGTGAATGAAGGTGGATGCCTGTTGAGACGTGTTTATGGACTGTTTGAATATCTTCTTTTGTGAGGTGCCTGTGCAAGTCCTTTGCCCATTTTTAAAATTAGGCTGCATGGCTTTTTCTTGCTTGCTTGGTAGAGTTCTTTATATACTCTGACTACAAATCCTTTACTGGAGATGCATGTTGCAAATACTTTCTCTGACAGTGGCTTACCTTTTCGCTGTCTTTATACTGGTCTTTGGATGAGCGGAGATTCTTAATTGCAATGTAGTTCAATTTATCAGTCTTTCCCTTGGATAGTACTTCTTGTTTCAAACTTAAGAGGTTCTTACCTAGCCTAAAGTTATAAGGAAACGCTATTTACCTCTAACAAAGTTATTGTTTTACCCTTTACATTTTGACTTCGTCTTTCTGGAACTGATTTCTGTGTATGATATGAGGTATTGGCCAAAATCATTTTTTTCTACATGGAAATGTACTCAACCCAGCACCATGTACAGAAAAGGCCCTCACTTCTATATTGCACTCCAGCCCCACCACTGTCATTAATCAGGTGACTACCTGTGCGGGTCTCATTCTGGATACTCCAGTGTCACTGATCTATTTGCCTCTCCTTGTATGAAGACCATGTCTGATTACTGCAGCTTTACAATAAATCTTGCCATGGGGTAATTAAGTCCTGCACCTTCTTTCCCCTTTTTTCGGTATTTTATTGGCTATTCCTGGCCCTTTAAACTTCCATATACATTTAAAAATCACCTTCTCCATTTCCACAAAAATACCTGCTAAAATTTCCTTAAACTTGCCCTACATCTCTGGCTAAATCTGGAGAGAACTGACATATTTCCAATAGTGTTACATTCTGATATTTACAGCATTTCCTTCCACGCTCACTTGCCAAGCGTCTTGCAGGTCTTTTGTTAGATCTACTCCTAGGTAGTCGATATTTTTTAATGCTATTGTAAATGGTATTGTTTGAAATATTCGTTTTCCAAATGTCTTTTGCTGGTATATAAAAATACCCACTAGATTTCAAGCTCCAAAGCTGACTGGGGGTTACAAGTTCACCTTGCTCATCCCACAATGCCTTAGCACACCGTTTTACACAATGTATTAGGAAGAAATGCTCAATATACATTTGCTTGAATGTAATGGAGGGAAAAGGCTGAATGGATTAAGATTTAATGTTTTAATGCTGTATCTAATTCCAGGGCTTCGGAAGATCAAGTAATTCAACCACCTCAGAGATATAAACATTTTAATAACTTTTTTTTTTTTTTTTGAGATGGAGTCTTGCTCTGTCACGCAGGCTGGAGTGCAGTGGCAC